GGTTTCTGTGGGCTTCTCAGGATGCTTCCTTTCCAGGCACTGGGTTCCTACCACTCAGAAGCCCCTACCCCAGTGCTGTGAGGAAGCTGCTTGTACACCTGCCACCCATGGAGAATAGCCCTTACCTCATTTAAACACTTATCTGGCTTCACTTTCCTCTGCTTTTTGGGCCAAAGTTTTTGATGATTTAAAAATTTCACTGGGGTTAAATCTGACTTAAAATGGTTTGAGGAGATCTGGAGAATGAGCCACTAAACAGTAGACTTTTCATCCCACATCTGCATTTTATGCCTGTACTCTTATGAGGCAGTAGGGTGCAGAGTCATAAGGGACTCCTGAGCTTACCTCTGGGTGAGCTCGGACAAGTTACTTAGCCTCTCTCTGCCTCAGATTGTTTGTAATGAAGATAATAAAAATGATCCTTATACTGTATAGAGCTAGTGAATTTAAATCTGGCAAAGGTTAAATGAATAAAAGTGAAGTGTCCACAACAGTCCCTGGCACAAACTGTCACATAAATGCTGCTGCTGCTGCCTTTTTCCCAGTGGCTGGGTGTGTGACCTGGCACTTCTTCAGCTCTCACTAAAGCTTAGCTGTCTGCTCCATTGGTGTAGTGATATTTACACTTTGGCCAGTGACCTATTAATGTGTCTCCTGTTTAGGATCCTGAAATAAACATCCCAAATAGTGTGTATATTAGCAGGTTATGACAAAAATTCCAGCATTTTTTTTTTATCAAAAGCACCAACTTTATGGGTATAAAAGTATGAGTTAAAACACACTTGTTAAATTACTGTAGGTTGGATAAGAAAGAAAGTAAAGAAAAAAAGGAATTTATATTTGTTGACTATTTCTTGGCTACCTAAGAATAATTAGCTCTTACCTGACTATCCTGGTCTGGTCTGGCATTAATAGCTTTCTGTGAGAGGCACTTCTTGCAGAAGTGGACATTTGCATCTTGCTGAGTTTGTCCTGAAGTACAAGGTGATGGAGGATGTTGATGATGGTCAGTGTCCTGAGCATTGGTGTTCCTGGGAGAGCAGAGCATGGCGAGGGATAAGACCCCTGGTAGCTCCCTGTGCCTCCCACAAGCCTTCACTCACACTGGGTGCTCTCTCAGGCCACAGTACCACTGTGTTTGAACCACTCCTTAAAAAAAAATACTACAAAGGGTAAGTGCAAATAAATCAACTTTCCAGGTCTTACACCTAGCCCACCTGAGCTCTGTACTAGGTCTGAAGGGGTGGTGACTAGCAAGCAGTAGGGGTTCCCGACTCCATTGTGAGTGGCAGCTGCAAGTGTGCCCATGGCCAGGTTTGGTGGTGGTGGTAGACCCGGGGTAGCTGGGGCCAAACTTGCAGAGCAAGATTTCTTTGTTATTTCCATGTATCGCTGTAAGTAAAGGGTAAAATATGAGAAGCTCTTTATGTACCCAGGAATATCATCTCTTCACTCCTTCAATAAATTTATGAGAAACCATTTGGTTTGTCCCTTTTGAGATTTGCTATTAATTAATTAATTTTTTTGCTATTAATTTAGAATGTCTTGCCCATCCTGGTTTCTAATGGGATTCTAGGCCAGATGTATTTGGAATTGAAATACTGTGTCAGTTAGCTTCTAGTTAAGTTGGAAGTAATTTGTAATAGTTACTGTTTCAGTGTAGATCTACAGTGTTGCCCCAAAGCCTTATGTGTTCAGAGGTGGGGCTGTTAGAAGGTGATTGGATCATGGGCTTGCTATAGCTGACTGGAGGTGGGCCACTGGGAACATGACTTGGAAGGGTCTATCTCCCTCCCCAGCTCCTCCCTTCATTTTGTGCATACTGGCCGCTATGACATGAGCAGCTTTCTTCCAGGCCCTTCATTACACCATTTGTGTCTGAGCCTGCCAACCATAGACTGAAATGTCTATAACTGTGAGACAAAATAAACCTCTCCTCCTTACAGAAGTGTCAGGTATTATGTCTTAGTGATGATAAAGTAACTAAGACAGTTACCAATTGGTCTTTGGTTTCAGAGATTTTTGAAAACAAAGTGAGTGACTCCACAATGGTGCTGTGTGTGACCATGTGAGTCATTGCAGGAATGCTGGGATCAAATGAAATGACTTTTACTGAAGGGTCCCTGTCTGGCTAATGGCTCCTCCCAGCAAGTGTTGATTTGCTCTGTTTTGCAAACTGGCATCAGTTTCTCTAAGAAAACTAAATGTGCAATAGGAGTAAGGTAAATCATTTATTTTTATCAGTTTTTCAAAAATTAATATTTCAACCCTACCAAAATTATTGTAGATAAGAATTCATCCCAAAGTCATACCATATAGGTTTCTAATGTGAACATTTTGCCTTATATGTCTTAAGTTTTTTTTTCATAAAAACATAAAACCTTATGAGTAGAGGAGTGGTGAGACACCCTTCCCACTTATCATGTCTCTGTTCCTTCACTTACATCTCTATGAGGGTGATTCTTTCTGCAGTCTCATCATTTTAATTTTGACTACATTTCTGTTCATGTATTATTCATAAACAATATAGTGTTGCTGTGTTTGTTTAGATAAACAGCATAATAATGTAGGGTTTCCTTTTGCAAACAGTTTTTCCCTCAATCATTTTGAGATTTATCTAAGTCGATGCACATACAATTACTTCCTTTTAGCTCCAGGATAGGATTTCATTGCGTGAAATGGACCATCATTTATTTAGATACTTTATACATGTTATTTGATTATCCTAAAACACTTTGAGGAAAGTATTTTTTGACTGTTTCAGAACACAGATTCAAACTCATGTTTATGCAATCCCATCGTGCTTTCTATGAATATTTGGAAAATAAATTTAGGAAACATGAGCTTGGAGGCTGCCCCCAGAGAATCTCTGTGATCTCAGGGCAAAGGAAATTGTTGGTTGTGTGCCCTACTGGCCTGGGGCAGGTGAGGCTGGGGCAGCCCAGTCTTCTCCATGGGGGTACTACAGCTCAGGAGGGTGCTGGGGTCTTCAGAGAGCAGCTTGCCAGCTGTGTGGAACATCAGCTCAAGGGAAATACAAAATTCTTTAAAAATGATTAATGTGGTAAATCAATGATATATTTGAGGTCCAAAAAGCAGTTGAGATACAGGGACAGGTTTTAGAAGGAGTGAAGGACACTTGAGGACTCCGCCGTCAAGAAGCCTAAAATGTAGCAGGGGAGACAAAACTATCACAAAACAGAACAATCACACCCTAAGCAACTTGGCATAAATTGTACTTTTTGTCTTTATGAAAATAGGATGGTGTATGTTTTTCTCTGTACCTTGATTTCTCATTTGGCAGTACCTTATAGAAATCCTCTCAAAGTATTTACCATAGGACCAATTTTAACAGCTGTAAAACTGTAAAGCATTATATGTTATGGACACATCATAATTTATTTGCACTTTCCTTTATTAATGGGTTATGGGTTAATGATTTTGTTTTTTCGGTAATCTGCTAAAGACTGTAGTAGTTAATGTCCTTGTGTATGTGTCCCTGTGTGCTCTGGTTCTCCGATTTCTAGGGGAGAGATTGCTGGGAATGTGATGACTGGATAGAAGGGTGTGTGTATTTGTAATTTTAATAGATACTGCCATATTGCTTCCTTTTTTCTTTGCATATCTACCTACCTTGCCTGCCTCTCTTCCCTCCCTCCTTCCTTCTACTGGAGATTAAACCTAGGGCCTTCACACTGAGCTACATCTCCAGCCCTTTTTTATTTTGGTTTCTTTTGGTACCGGGGACTGAACACTGGACCTTGTGCTTTCAAGGCAGGCGGCGGAACCTCTGAGCTAAATCCCTGGCCTGTCTCCAGCCCTTTTTAATTTTTACAGGGTTTCACTATGTTACTGACTTACCCATGCTGGGCTCCATGGAATCTTCCTGCCTCCACCTCCCAGAGTGCTGGGATTATAGGTGTGTGTTACCATGCCCAATTTGCTAAAAAAGGCTATGATTTGTATCCCCACAATCAGTGCATGAAAGTATCTTCTACCTGTGTTGTCACTTCTAATAGTAATGATATTAAAAGTGAGAGACTGGATATAAATTTATAGCTCATTACTACTAATGTCTGTAACACTGGAATGTGAATATTTTTCATATACAGTGGACCTTCGAGTTACAACTGACCTGACATATGAACAACTTGGGTTATAACTGAAATTTTAGTTTTAACTTATGAACAAAGTCTTGAGTTATGACCCAAATGCTGGCCGTTTGTGCTTCCAGATGGTCTCAGATACAGATTTAACCCTTAAAAAGTTTTGAAAGGAAATTACAACTTCCTTTCCTGTATGAGGTTAATTGAGAAATCCTGGGCCGATGTCTCTCTAAAGACACTGAGATCTGCCTGTATACAGGAGAGAGATTTTGAAGGCTGTGTAGAGGAGCCCGAGCCTTCAGCTAACCAACTTGGGTTACAACCAGCCCTCGAGAATGAGGAGTTCATAAGTTAGGGGTCCAGTGTATCATGTTGGCTATTTGTTTCTGCTCTTTTGTGTCCTACTATTTTACTTGGTTTGTGATTAGCCTTTGATTTTCTTTTCTCGGTTATTTTGTAAGAGCTGCTGGTATAGAATAGATGTCAGTACTTGTCATCTGTTTCATAAATATTTGGACAAGATGCAGTGTCTGTTTGTTGGCTTTATCTACTAGCCAGTCCACTGAAGCACAATAGTGACAAACTAAGTGAGCTTCACAATCTGAAAGAGCAACCTGCTTGGTTTGATACATTACTCAGGATTTTGAAGGGTCTGTGAGTGACGTCTGATGTTGATGGGACGTTGCAATACACCTGTGGAAGGGAGCAGGCGCTCACTACACCAGCTAGACTTGTATCCCTTCAGCTTTTCGGGTGTTCAGTACTCATTCCTATGTGTACAATGTGGGAAACAGTTGGAACACTGAGCAGCTAGAGTCTTTGTCTGATCAGCTTGGTTCTCTTCCTTATGGAAATGGGGGTCCTGTAACCATGATTTTTTTGGTTTTTTTTTAGAAATCATACCATCCTCAAAGCCTCATCCACCTGTTGTGGGCAAAGTGACTCATCACAGCATTGAATTATACTGGGATCTGGAAAAGAAAGGGGAACGGCGAGGACCTCAGGAGCGCTGGCTTAGGTTCTCAATTGAAGAAGAAGACCCCAAAATGCACACTTATGGTATCATTTATACGTAGGTGCAAAGTTGAATTGGTTACCATTTTTGTTTTGATTTCCTGATTATGTAGAATGATTTTTATTGTCTCTTAAAAAGCCACTGCTTGTTTTGGGTTTTTTTTTTTTGTTTTGTTTTTAAAAAAGACTTATATAGGGTTGAAGGGAGGGCAGGGGAAGGGAGAAAAATAAGAACCAAGAGAGATTATGTAAAGGTGCAAATTTCCAATGATGAATGTCATTATATCGTATACCTAAAATGTACCAATTAAAAAAAAAAAGGACTTACAGGGCTGGGGATTTAGCTCGGTGGTTCTGCTGCCTTCCTTGCAAGCTCAAGGTCCCAAGTTCGATGCCCAGTACCAAGAAAGAAAAGGTTACATCCAAAATTATTTGGGCCGGGAATTTAGCTCAGTGGTTCCACCTGCCTCGTAAGCACAAGGTCCCGAGTTTGATCCCTGGTACAAATAAATAAATAAATAAATAAATAAATAAATAAATACCCTAGCAAGTATCCTATGAATTTTATGCTCTTTTATTATCTGTAATTTTTGGAAAATAAGCATTAGTGGTAACTTTGAAATTAAACCTCCTGTACTTTAAAAGCTTTTTTGACTTCTGAAATATTTTAATGGTGTATTTTTAAAATTCAAAATGTAGAGACAGAAACAAAAGCTACTTTGATGAAGTTAAATGAGGTTCCCACCAGGCTGTTTTGTTCATAGAGGTGGGATGGGACCCTGGGTAGTACATACAACCTACCCAACTTCTCAGATCTCATGTCATACCATGGTTTCCTTGTCAACTCCAACCACCTGGCCACCATCCTTCAGCCTGGAGCAGGCCAGGGTGGTTCTGATGTCAGGGCCTTCATAGGTACTTCTTCTTGAATGCATCCTTCTATTCTATATCATGTGTTCCCTTATACTGTGTGGATCTCAGATCAAACCTCTCCTCAAAGCACCATGTGACATTGTCATAGCACCATTCCCCATCTCAGGCCTTTGTTCCATGTGCCTCATAGCATTGACCTTTGTTGGAGCTATTGAACTTGTTTAGATACTAAACTCAGTGAAAGATAAGATTGCTGCCATGTAGTGCTCTGTCCCTGGCTCCTGCGCAGCATCACCAGGCAGGTGGCAGGCCCTCAAAAGGTTTGTCTCATGACTGAATAATTGCAATAGGAGAAATCAAGAAGTCACTTTTAGTCTTCATATCAACTGACTTTTCTTTGACAGTCCTACCACTTGCCAAATGACTGAGTTAGAAATACCAAAAATGAGATACAAATGTGTTTTTCCTTAAACTCTTTATTTTGAGGAGATTAGAGTTTCACATCCTATTGTAAGAAATAATACAGAGACACCCCTGTACTTCATACCTAATTCCCTGATGTCTTAGAAAACTGAAATGCAGTATCAGAACCATCAGGTTGACACAGATGCAGACAAAATTCCGGACAGCCTGTCACTTGTCTGCCCTTTTCTCCAGGTAGCATTGTGATGAAGTACTAATGTGGGGTAGACCCTGTATGGTCCTCCCTATCCAACTTCTCTGATTTCATATCATGGCCCCTCATTAACTCTTAATTCTCACCAGCTTTCTTCATCTGTCTACACACACACACACACACACACACACGCACACCACTCTACCTGTGCCCTGAGTGGTAATATCCCCAATATTTAAGAAACATTTCTCTGTACCTAAAGAAAAAAGAAAGAAGAAAAAATCATGTGAAATGTTACCATATGAAAAGAATTCCTGGCTTGACTACTTGAAAATGTTATTTTAATTAAGTCATGTATTCCTCTGTGAAAGTAGTTTCCCTCTAAAAGCATGAATTATGATATTTTAAGTATTTCTATGGAGAAAGAAAAGGATGCCATTTCTTTCCCCCATTTCCCTCCTACTACAAGCCATGCTTGGTCATGGTGTGTGTGTGCTCATGCTCTCCTAGGTATTCCTGAACTTCATCTTGGCTTTTGCTAATTGGCCAGGAAGCTGCCTCCTCTAGAGAAACAGCAGCCATGTACACCAGCCTCCAGCTCAATGTGTGCATATGTGCCATTTATATTCTCCCCAGAGTCCTGGCTGCTGTCTAACCAGAGGAATTTCACAGATGATGGCCTGGTGGTGTGGCATGGAGCTGGCAACAATGCCCAAGTCGAAGGCTGAGGTGAACAAACAGCCGGTGTTCCTTTGGAGGATTATGCAGCACAAACCTTAACGCTAGGGGGCAGAATGAGACTGTGTTACTCTTCACCTCTTTGGCTTAGTTATACCACTTTTTCTAGATAGTGTTAACTAGCAGATGTCTTCCTTTTGAAAAGTGATTACCATCTGACATTGGGCTTGTGAGTGTAGGAACTTCTTTCTGACTTGTCAGTTTCTGTTCCTGTCCATCAGTTTTGAGTCAGTGGTATTATCACTGACATTGGCTCCCTCAATGGCTTTGCAGAGCCAGTCCATTAGTTACCTGGTGTTGTGAGTTCTCCTTTGTAACTCCCTCCTCCTCTGCCCCAATGAAGCTGTGATGTTTTAATCTACCAGGATGTAAGCTCCATTTTGTCACCATTTGGTGATGTGTCCCCAGACTCCAGGACTCTGCCTAGGACATCTGTTGCTTGGATGAGTTGGCCTTACTCCTCTTTTCTTGCCTTCTAGCTTTTTATTCTATTTTGTAGGTTTATTTTCTTTTTAATTTTCCTTTTGTCAAATGTTCTCCAATGGGTCTCCTTTGCTTGGAGGAGGAAGGTTAGACTCCTTAGACCAACATTCATTGCCTCGTAGTTTCCCCACAACCTGCTTCTCTATTACCTCTAATTTCTGAGTACGAACACTCCTGCCAGATCACTTTCCTGTTTTTCAACTATGCCTTGACTTTTTCTGCATGTGTGTTTAGCTATTCTTCCTGTTTGCACAAATTGTCCCTATCACCTTACAATTTTTCCTGCTTGCATCAGGTTCTACATTGACTGAGAAGCTCCCCTTACTACCCCATTGCCTGTCCCTTAAATCCCCATGACAGTTGGTGCCCATATCTATTACCCATTCTATTAGTGTATATTACTGAGCACCCATGATGCACTCAATGCTATTTTAGATGCTGGCAATGGGGCACTGGGGACAGACAGAAATTCCTCATAGGGAGGCAAATGATAAATAAGATAACAAAGAAAAAAATATATACATATATGCACACATATATGTATACACACACACACACACACACACACACATATATATATATATATATATATATCAGGTGGTGATGATAAGTACTCAGGAGAAAAAGCATAGGAACAGTTAGAGTTCTGGGGTGGATGTAAGAAAATCCTTCCTGAGAAGAACACTTCTGTGCGATGTCCTGTTACAAGTGGTGGAGATGTCAGGGGAGAAAACATTCAGGTAGAGCAAACACCAAGGAGGAAGCCTTGAGATGGGAGTGATTGGTGGGCTCCAGGAAAATGGAGGAGAGGAACTGGGTGAAGTAATGAAGGGATAGGAAGTAACTACTCAGGTCTTCAGATGACTGACAGATATCTGGCTTTTACTGTACTCTGGAGTAGAAGGGGAAAGCCAAAGGAGATTGCTATGCGAAGGAGAGTCATGATCTACTTTATGTTTTATGAAGATCCCTCTGGCTGGGAGTTGAGCTCAGGCCATGGGGAGGCAAGACAGCAAGCAGCAGGGAGGACTAATTAGGAAGCTTTTGCAATAATTGAGGTGGGAGATAACAGCACAGTATGAGAACTGGTTGAATTCAACAGATAATTTAGGGATTTAAAAAAGTTTGCTAGTTTAGCTGGGCTTATAACTGGAATCCCATCTATGTGGGCAATGGAGACAGGAGCATCTTTCAACCTAGGAGTTTAGGGTTAGCCTGGGCAACTAGTGAGATCCTGTCTCAAAAAAAATAATAATTAAAACATGAGACATTTGCTTGTGGACCAGATATTGGGCCTGGGAGAAAGAAGATAGTGAAAGGAGAGTGTGTGTATGTGTGCATCTGTGTATAAACACACATACACACAGACACACAAACTCGGGACAAACCCCATCTGAACTATAGCATGAACCTATACTCAATGATGAAATCACCTACTCATAAGAATACAGGCTGTGTGAGGCTGATGTAGTTTTAAAAAGTTATTCGTTTTAGCCCATGTAATTTTTCTGAATATTTATTTTGGTTTTATAGCTTTTGCTTTTATGGTAAGTATCATTATATTTACTTTTTACACATGTATATTTCTTTCCTAATGCCATTGGATCCCTTCTTCATTGTCTCATCATTTCTTTTTTGTTGATACACACTGTTCTCTATTGCTGCATACCCAGCCACCCCAAGCTTAGTAGCTTTAAGCAAAAACCAGCACATGTTTGCTCATGGACTGTGACTTAGGCAGCATGGGGAAGGCTCATCTCTGCTCCACATGGTCATGGCTAGGGCAGCTCTGTAGGGCCTGGAGGAACCAAATGGCTTCAGTCACATGTGATGGCTCTGGCGGCGGGGCTGGGATGGCAGGAGCTGACTGAGCTTCTTTATCTGTCATTGCCTGCCATCTTCCAGTGACTCCATCTTATCAGGTGGTCTCTCTAGTAGAGAAGTTGACCTTCTTTAACTGCTGGGTAATTCCAAGGGCCTGAAAACAAGAGCTTCAGGCTTCTTACAGCCCAGGCCCAGGGCTCTGCAGCTTCACTTCTGTGCCCTTCTATCCTCTTCCAGGGGAGAGAAACTCTGGCTCTGTGGGGAGAGGAATGTGTTCCTGTGGGGACACGAGGGACTGTCAGAGGCCAATCTAACTGAGATGTGCCACATATATAACTCCTTGTAGGTAAAGAAAGGGATGTGCTTCCAGAAGGGCGCTATCCAATCAGTAGCTGAATCCACCAGCAAAAAGCAGTGAAGTGTAGCCATGTGGCCAGTGGTACCTAGGATGCCAAGTCATTTTCCTTGGCTCTGTCAGAGCTGTGCCCAAGAAATATTTAGATTTTGGTGCCCAAATGTCTTGTGATGCAAAAAAGGGATCATCAAGTGTTGAAGACTTTATTTCACTTAGAACTTTCACATTCCAGCTAATCAGTAAAGGAGAGAGACACATAGGAAAGAGTCTTGGTAAGCATTTTTCAGTTTTTAAAAATGGTTCAAGTCTTTGGATTTCAGTGAGGCATCTCTCCAGAACAGGCCAAACTCTTCTGGATTCTGTACTCTTGCCCTGGTGAGGGCACTGAGGCCACCCTTCCTGGGTGTTAAATGTCCTTCCAATCCAATGTTCCTTTTGCAGACTGGAGAGATTTGTCTGTCTTTCATGAGAGTCCCTCACCCATATTTCCCTCTGACATTAGAGAGCTCTCGCTAGAGGACATTCTTCTGTCACTCTCCACCCCACCTCTTACTCGCTTCTTGTAGCACAAGAATTACTTGTCTGATTGCAAGTTTGGCAGAAGGACTTGCAAGACCTTCTGGGTTCTTCCTTAGAGGTACTGTTCCTGCTAGAGTGGGTGGTGATCTAATCTCTAGCCACACTCTTCCAGCGGGCTCTCAGGTGAGTGAATAAAGCTGTTTGAGTAATATGTGAGGTGCTAGCAGGACCATCTCTCTAGACCTGAAGCCACGTGTCCAAGGGAGCTTTCTTTCTTCAGTCATGCTACTCACTCCAGCACTGTCATTTCAGCCTAACTCTGTCCCTTCCTTGGTATCCTGACTACCCCGCTTCTGGCCCTCCTCTGCAGGAAACAAGTTGAACCTACTGTTCTCTGCTTCATTTCAGTCCTGAGCTGGGCCAGGGCTGCCTCCCTAGCCTGGCCCAGCACCTTGAAAGAATAGGAACTAGATACGTTTGTTGAGTTGGATGGAAGAGAATTGGTGTTGCATATAAATGTCCTTGAAAATATTGATTGTAAATCTGAAAGTATGTTTTACCCTCTGTGGAAGGGAAAAATGGAAACAGAAAAAAATAGGAGAAAACAATAGTAAGCCTGGAGTACAGGGGACTGTGGGGAGTTTTGAGGGGAGGAAAACAAGGACTAGATTGAAGTAGGAAAGAAGAAAGACCTGGAAAGAGAATCCTTTCCACTTTCTCCTCCCCAGTCAAAAATCAAGCCTTTGCAATATGAAAAAGAAAAACTGAGACACAGATTTAGAAAAGGGATATCTGGAATTTAGTCAGATACCAATAAAGATTTTGGGTGTCAAAGGGAAACTGAGGTTTGGGACAATATTAGGCACTGCATATCAGTCCTTATCACCCTTGGAGACCTGAAAGCCTAGAATGTGTGCCAAGGTGAAGCCAGGGTCCTGGGAACTTCTCCCAAGCGGAGAGGTGCAATCCCACCATACCTGGTGGGTCCCAGCATCCTCTGAGCAGACAGGCCAGCCACTTAACTATATTTCTTGTGCTCATTTTGCATGCTCCAAATTATTAGGTACAGTATTTTTCCCTCTGGAGGTGTGCAGATTTCCACTGTGAGCCTCTAATCAGATTTCTGTTCTAGAACAGTTCAGCATCAATTGACCATCCACATTCCTAGATGAACGTAACTATGCTTTATGACGTTAGAGCTCTTTCTTATGGGTTTCCTGACTGCCCGGCTATAAGCTGCTCATGAGCTACATACAATCATGCGTATGTCTTCTTCAGATCCCTTCCCTGCAGTAGTCTTTTGCCTCATATAGTGCACAACCATCTATTATTAGATAGCGTCACCCACTTGAAGATTCCACTTGAAACTCAAAAGCAATTTGACTGCCTGTCTTATCTTTCAAAGGTGAAACTTTGTCATTTGAGGATAAATGACATGGGTTATCATGATTATTTGTCCAAAGAACAAAGTCACATCCCAGCTATGTTCCAGGCACTGGCTCAGCCATGTGGGACAGAGAAGCCATGTGCTAGGAAGGATAGAGGTGCTGTATGTGACCTGTGTTTTGTTTTAAAGGAGTTCAAAAAACCAAGATCAGATCTGTACTAGAAATAGATTGTGCCCAAAAGTCACTTACACCTGCTTTTGTAATAAGCTATCAGAAGGTTGATTAGATCATCTAGTGTTATCAGCATGTGTGTCTCTTCCTGTCCAGGGGATATGCAACAAAGCACACTGTTGAAGGTCTGGAACCAAGGACTCTGTATAGATTTCGATTGAAGGTCACCAGCCCCTCTGGAGAATATGAGTACAGCCCAGTCATCTCAGTATCTACAACCAGTGAGTACACAAATGCTCTATGCGCATTTGTCTAGACATATACAAAGATGACCAACAATTTAGAAATTAAAATATTCTGCCTTAGTGGATGCAGAAAGAATTCCATTTTTAAGCACTGTGATGATATTGTTTACTGCCTGGGCCTGGTCATAACATGTAACACAAGAGAAATCCAGTTATATATTTTCACAAATTGAGAGAGCCTATGTTTGTGTCAGAACTGTACTGTTCGTGGACCTCTGGCACAAGAGTGGAGCCATCTTTCCCAGGAAGTGGGCCACAGAGGGTGGGCAGAGCAAACTGCCTGCTTGAGTGTCCTTGGTGAGGAGGTCTGCTCAGAGTCTGTCCACTGTGTGGCTTAGCTGGCCACAGTCACTGATTTCTGGGTGCCGTGAGTGAGGAAGCATGGTTGTGCTGCTCCCAGCCACAGAGCACCCTGGAGGGGGAGGGCCTGCAGAGGGGTTGGCCAGAGAAACCAGCTATGATGCCTCAGACCACTTCTTCCTTGCCCCAGTTTTACAATATCTACTGAGATTTTTTTCCAGTAATGAGGGTTGAACCCAGGGCCTTGCACACGCTAAGCAAGCACTCTACCACTGAGCTGCTTGCCAACCCTTTTATGTTATTTTCAGATAGGGTCTTGATAAGCTGTGTGGGCTGGCTTCAAACTTGTGATCCTCCTGCCTCTCAGCCTCCTGAGTAGCTGAGATTATGAGACTGATACTATAAGACATTTTAAAGATGTATAGGTCCAGTGTCATCTTTGAGCTAGAATACTGTATAGATTAAAATGGTCAGAAACTTCCTTTGTGGCCCACTCACTAACAACACAGGCAAGTCTTTTTTGGGTAATGAAGGAAATCTTCCTTTTATTAGTGATTTTTCAATTTCATTCAGTGTGGCATTTGACTTATATACATTTTCTGTGGATTTCAATGTGTCCTTCGGCATTTATTCATGAAAATTTTTGTGTGGACTAAAGATAATTTAGATTTTGGGTTAGTCTGTGATACTTTCAATTCCAAACATGGCATGAGGGGATTGGATCTCGGTTTAGCAAAGTGAGAGTTTAGTTAAAGCTCAGAGTGGGGATTCTGGGTACATTCCCAAATGATGCTCAGCTAGCCATGAAAAAAATGTAATTTCAGAGAAGACTTTTGAAGTGAAATGGTCGATTATGGAGATGCAGGTCAGGAAGGAGGGCCAGTTCTTGAATATGGCAATTCTAAAGCATTTGCTTTTATAGGGAAGATGTTTGGACTCTGGTGTCCTTAGGAAGAGGAGAAGGAGGCAAGCCAGTGGAAAGCCAGTGAGCTCTTTGCTAAAGGAAGTCAAGGGTTGGGGAGAAGACTTGGCAAAATCACCTGGCATTTGAACAGGGTCTCTCCAAGGGACACCCAGCTAGGATGGTCTCCCAGGACACCTCTCTACTTCCTTCCTGCTTCTCCAGTCACCCACAAGTCCTACGACACACTCCCACGTTCATGCCTTTGACTCTCCTCTCTGGAAAACCTAATCCCCTGCTCTGCCTGTTGGACCTGCTCCTCGGACAAAGTCAGCTGGGGGGCAATTCCTTGGGTAGCTTTCCCCTTCCCTGTGCATGCTTCAGCTCTTCCCCCAGTCCAGAGAAGTTGCTCACCACCTCCCAACAACACTTCTTGCAACTTACTTGACACGTTTGTCTACCTTTTTGACGTTTACCTACAAGGTGTGCTCCTGGACCGGTGAGGGGGCTAGGTCAGACATCCCTAGCATAAAGGAGGTCCTTGATGGATGGATGCATGATGAACTAAGGCCCAGAGGTAGCATTAAGAGTATGAAAAAGAAGCACTGGTTTTCTTGGCTTGTACTCCTGTCTGTTGGGAGATGGATCCATTTCTCACCAACCAGGGTGAGTCTACCTGAACTTGCCAGTTAAGGTAAACAAAGCTGTTTCTGCAACCAGGTATGGTGACATCATAGCACTTCAAAGCCAGAGCAACTCCATGGAAACTCTGGACCTTCTTGCCAGAGTTTCCATGGAGTTGATGTGCCCTATGGAGCTCTTTTAGGAAGGTAGTGACCAGCCTAACTCTTATCAGCTGAAAAGGGTTATGCTGGTAAGCAAGTATGTTTTCTCCTTGCTGAACTGATTTTGGAGACACAGTCATAAAGGTTGGTGCAGGCATTTGTCTTTATGGTCCCATTGCTTCCATGGTTAATGACATACAGCCCCCTGTGGGGAAAAGGGGATGTTGGTGACCAGCAGGTGTGCTGGGTCTTCTGCACCATTCCACTGTGAGTCCAGCACAAGTGTTTGTAGCTGGCAGCCACCTCAGCCTGCTGGGTGGTGGGGATCCAGCGTCCTCTTCCTTCTGCCCAAAACAGGCTCATGGCTCTGCTGACTGGCTGTTGGCTCCCTTATCTATTGTTATATGTATAATATCTGATGCAGATTCTCTTAAGGAGGCAGATTGTGCTAACCAAAGAATTAAAAAATGTGCACATTATACTGAGCGTATGAAAATGCTTCCATGGGTTGATAATTTGCATTCAGTTTGAGAGCATTTTAATCAGAAAAGCATGTACTTTGTTTGAATAAAGGATGCTCAACCTTTTGTTTTTTTCCTTCCCAGGTAAAGTACATGGAGACTCTTGCTTAAATGAGGCATACAATTTTAATCAGTTGGGCCTTTAAAAAGAAAGAAAAACAGCTGCTACTTGTTAATTGGCAAATATCTTCTCCATTGAGCTCATGATTTATTCACTGCTTCTAATAAAGACCTAAATTCCACCAAGAAAGGTGTTATCACTGTATTATATCTGCGGGCACACCTGCAGTTAAATGACCTCTTACCGAGTGAGCGATGGGTTCCCAAAGACCACTCTGCCTGCCCTCCCATGTGTCCTCACTCATACACATCCCTCCCAGCTTGGATAAGCCTTTTCGGACGTACTCCCCACGAGCAGCATCAGTGTGATGTTTGTAATTGCAGCACTCAGAGTAGACACTAGAAGATCAAACCCACACAGGCAAAGGCCTAAGGGCCAGGCCCACAAAGTCTTGAAGAGTTTTGGGGTGGGAGGAGTGGAACATTGCTCTTTCTGGAATTTCCTTCCTGTTCAAGACTCCTGGCTATAGTGGGAGTAAAGGAATTGCTGTACACTGCAAACGAGGGCCTTTTCTTTCCTGTATCTTTGTCAAATTCAGGCAAACTGTGAGACTTTTCTGTGCCTCAGTTGATTTACATGTATTCAGTGGAGATTTGTAGATCTTTACTTTCCGGGGGACAACTTGGTTGAGGGAGGAGGGTGAATAAGTTAATGCTGAGAAGGAGCCCTTGTACCCTGGTTGATGTAGCTTGCTTCTTTTTGCTGAAACTCAGCAAGCAAGGAGTGATGAACAATTGTTGCCTTCCCTTCTCTTTTTGAAGGATCTATTTGTTCCCAAAATACATTGTGAAGGGCCGGGGATTTAGCTCAGTGGTTCCACCACCTGCCTCACAAGCAGAAGGTCCCGAATTTGATGCCCAGTACAAAAAAAAAAATACATTGTGAATCCCTGAATGCCTTTTGCAGAAGCTGGAAGAAGCAATAAATACATTTATTTTAATTATATCATAATATCAAAGTACCCTGATCTTTGTTGCATATAGTCCTTAAGCTTACGAGCATAAAATGGAGTTATTTCACTTCCACACATTTGCATGCTGTAGAGCTTCCTGGCAAAGATGTGCTAGGAAGCATCTTCATCAGGAGAGCCTTGCTGCACAGGTGAGATGGGTGATGTGGAATGGAGGTGGTCAGTGCAGACATGGTGAGATGCTGCACGTGCTTGAAACCCCCAAGAAATTAGCATTTTCTGAAGCTTCTTAAGCATCCCCTTTCATTTCACACTTTTGAGAGGGGAATTGGATTTATTTAAGATGATGTCCCTTTGTATTCAAACTTTAGCAAGGCTGGAAGTATACAGAGAATTGGCCAGATACCTTGATACTTATTACACACTGAAGAGAAGGAGTATTGTGACCTTAGGGAGGACCTGGCTGTGAGTTCTGATGCTGTCTCTAACTGGGTGAACTTGGACACCTTTCCAAGTCTGTTTCTGTGGCTTGGAGGAAAATTTAAGAAGCATTGTGTGCAAGTTAATTAATAGGGTTTGATTTAGGTTAGGATACCACCAAATTTTAAAATTAAGCAGAGATAGGGGGAACTGTGCATCTTGCTTAGGTGATTCTATTCAGGTGACCAGGTTTAAGGGGCAGTGGGAGTTTGAGAGTTACAGGAGTGGGGTAGTTGGTGGGATAACAGATATTTACAGTGATGCAGACTTCTGCCTTCTGGGAAGGAAGAGGGGAAGGGAAACAGTCTCTTGGTTTACTTCATCCACCTTAAGTGGGGATGAGTCACACACTAGTCAATTTTAAGCCCATCTTCATCTGACCCAGGGTTCTCAACCATGCAGGTATTGGCATTTTGGGTCTGGATGGTTCTTGATTGTTTCCAAGCTGGCCTGTGTGCTGTAGGGTGTCAAGCAGCATCCTGGTGCCTCTCTTGCTAGATGCTAGTAGAATCGCGCCCCCCCCCCCCCCCGCCAACTGTGACAACAAAAATGTCACCTGACATTGTCAAATGCCCTTGGGAGTATAAAACCATCTTTCTTTTCCTAGTTCCCTAGTGAAACTGCAGGGTGCACAAGACCTCCCTTGAAAGGCTACAGACAGCTATGTTTCTTGGCTTTTGAGGGTTTATCGTGATACTTTTATTTGAAACTTTTGGTCTAAAATATGTGTGGAATGATGAAAAGGAAGTATAAGGTAGCTAAAATATCCTTTAGAGATTGGCAAAATCTAGCAGGACTCAATTGTTATAAAAACTTTAAATTGGTATAAATTGACTTATTTGAAAAGAGTCAGCCGAGGGCATTCTGGTAGGGACCCCTTCACTCTTTGGACCCCCTATATTCCCAGTTTGTACAGTGCTCAGTTTAGTTCGTATGGCTGCTATCTTCTGAGGAGACCAGGAGAAAGGAACTCCTTTGTTCAGAAACTGATGTCCCCACAGATTTGCCACTGTGAGAAGCAGTAAGACGGTGGCTGACTCACCTCTGCCTGCTTGACAGTACAAGGGAGGTAAAGCAAGTGGTGACCCCCAGGTCACTAGGGTGCAGTGCAGTTGATAGGGTAGGCATTGGCTAGTTTATATTTTATTTTTATTTGGCAAGTTCCTTTTAGGATTTAAAAAGTGACAGGCTGAAAGTGGATACTACAGTGTAAATCAGAATGGGGAGGACTCTGTCCCATAGTGCCTAGAGTATGACCTGGTATGTAAATTACTCCACAAATATGTGTTAAATGGATGCACAAGGCCTTAGACTGAGGATTGTAATGTCAAAAGCCATTCTAGGGCAGGCAGATGGTACAAGGGTGGGCATTGATGCTGGGAACCCTGTTGGACAAGAGGGGAGGGTGAGCTGCAGCAAAGGACGATGGCAGTCGCTACTCCCATCACTCCGACCTCAGGAATAAGTGTGTCTTGGATATTTATGGTGTGCCAGGGGCTATTCTAAATGCTTCACTTGTATTTCCTTTCAACTTAACCATTATAGTTAAAAAAAAAAAGGAAAGGCATGGAATATGAAGGAAATGAATCCATGAAATACATGTTTTGAAAAATGGGCTGCTTTCACGTGCCCCTTTATCCCCATACCCTTCTCCTGCAGATTTCTCTTCCTCTTTGTCCCTGCAAAGCCTGTGTTCCCTGTGCAGCAGTCCTCCACACTCTCATTTCCCACTAAAATAAGTCATCTTTCTCAGACTTGTTCTCTTTGTCCTTCACTACTTGGCAGGCTTTCTCCCCCATGGGGTTTTCTCAGGTGCTCCCAAGTTGCTATGGGCATGAGCCCCATCTGTCTGCACAAGCTTGGGGCACATGGGGCCAACACATACATCATATTCCTGGGAAGAACCGACAAGTTCCATTTCACATGTCAAATCAAGTTGTCCTTTGTTGTTCAAGCCATGTAGCCACTCTTTAGCAAGCAAAAGTAGCACATTGTGACAACTCCTAAGGTTTTCCTTTCTTATAAGAGACATTTACTAAGCCTTATGAAATCTGAAAGGAGTATTACCAAATGTCACAAAGCAATACTTTATAACTTGACAATGTCCCAAGCCTTTAGGTCAGTTTAAATATTCTCTTAACATGTAAAAATGAGGCCTTTCGCAGTAAAAGAAGCAGTTAAATAGGAAATTTAGACAAAAATATTTTAGCTTTTTAAGATTTAGATAAAAACATCTATTTATAGGAACAGCCGAATGTCTTCTTGGAGGTGAACAAGAAGCATCCACTCAAGGCCATAGGAGAATATAGTTGGAATGAATCTTCTTTTGTTACATATTGGATGACCGCTTTCCATCTAATTTCTTTAGGAGAACCCATAAGCAGCGAATACTTTCATCGAGTTGTCAACGTGAATGATGAAGATTTGCTCGTTCGAATACTTGAAGGAGGGTGAGCGTTCTCTGCCAGCTTTCTTTTTAATGTCCCTGAAAAGAATAGAAATACATGATGTAGCTTTGTTTTCCTAAAAATTCCGATACCTTTTAAACTGCCTTCCAAATTGATCTCAGGTGACTGATAATGAGTTAGTAAGGCATAGTTAATAATGATGATCATCAAGCCCCATGTAAATGTTAGTTTGTATTTAATGAAATTTTGAATTTATAGGTGTGAGTGCCATATCTTATTCTCCAAAATAATTTCTGTTCCATGCTCACATGTGGCAGCATTTTGTCAAATTTTACCCCAAAATGCTCACATCTAATTCCTGATGAAGCTAGGGCATCACTAGGTCAGCTGCTTTCTAATTTAGGTAGATAGTAGAGGAAGGAGATGTGATGGAGTTGCTGCAGATGAGGTGTTTCAAGCTGCCTTCCACGTGCAAAAATGGTGTCCAGATTCCTTTTGAATCAGTAATTATGAGTGCCTTAGAAGACAAGTGGCTTGTGAATTTGAGCTTTGTAAGTTGAAGAGAAGATTTCCAACAAAGCCAAGCTGCAGCAGGCTCTTATCATTGAAAGCTCTAAAAGGTTTACCATCACTGGGCTAGAAGAACTTGACTTTTCTGGTAAAATGAGCTATTTTAGCCATCTGTAACCATTTGTACCCATCAGCTATATAGAGCTGTGATAAGCAAGTTAATCTCTTTTCTCTGTGTTTTCTCCAAGCCATGTTAAGGTTGATGTTCCCAATAAATTTGGCTTTACTGCTCTGATGGTCGCTTCCCAGAAAGGATACACCAGGTATAGCTTTCCTTTGTTTATCTGAGTAAGTGGTTGAACTCTACTTCCCCAGTCAGGATGGGGGATGAGAGGGAACAGGACTGCAGGGGAACCTATCTCCTTTTCTCTTTTCCAAATTGCCCCATATAATGATTTCTGAATTCAGCTGCTTTAATCATAAAGTTAACATTGCAGGAAAGAATGTAAAATGTATAACCGTATTACGGGAGAGATGCATGCAGGTATCTTGTATGTCCTAGGAAAATTATTTAAATTTCAGTTTCTTTAAATAAAACAAAACTAGGTGAGGGACATTCTGGAATGCAAATGTCCCCAAAAGGTTGGTAAAATATGATTTTGATAATTTTGATGATACCTTCCTTTATCTGTTCCACAGTTAAGTATAAATGCTAACATCTTACTTTTTTTTTTTTTTTTTGGTACCGGGGATTGAACTCGGGACCTTGCACTTGTGAGGCAGGCGCCAGAACCACTGAGCTAAATCCCCGGCCAGCGTCTTACTTTTTGATCAATTTATAATTTAATTACAGTGCCATTTTGAAAAAAATAGAAATGTGTTTTCATTTTTTGCTGCCATTTGAAAATATACAAAAAATGGCCATGAAAATGACTGAGTTATTTTGATAATCCAACTTGTATCATGTGGTTTTGTTAGATTTTAATGAGTTAGATTTTCATGTACTGTAACGGGTAGAAACTCATCTGGCGTGGAGCAGCAGTTTCCACTTTTGAATACAGATATTCCTTGTTTAACAACCTGTTTAACAACTGTTTGGACTTAACGCTCGCAGCTTGGACTTACACATGCATTTGGATTTACAACTCAGGAATGTGAGGGGCAGTGCAGCCATATGGTGGCTGCTTTTTTTTTAAATGATAGCAAAGTTTTATTAAAGGTAGGAAATGAAACAGGCTCTGCAGAGTGAGTTTGGCTCAAGCAAAAGTAGGAAAAGAAGTGCAGCCTACAAAGTGAGGATGGGCCATTCATGCAAGAGGGTGGCAAAAACTCAGTGTGGACCATCATTTTTGTATCACCTACTCCTCAGGCTGATATCACCTCTAGGCCATCTGACCAAAAACCTGCTCCAGTTCTTGTGAGAAGTCTGCATGTAAGGCTTTGGGAACTCTTCTATGTATGTGTCCTGGGATTTTGTAATTAACAGGTGATGACTACTTCCCAGCAGCTTTGCCATCCCCTAATCTCCTGTCTCATCTTCCCCTGAGAAACACATATACCCATAATTCTTTATGGGGTGCCCAGGGAGTAGAGGTCTCTTCTATCTTCATATAGCTACTTCTTGCTGAAAGCAGCAGTAAACCCTACCTACTTGGGATTATGTGCTCTCTTAATACCTTGGGGTGTTGTGGTTCACTGGCTGGGTTGAAGAAAACAAAACTTGTCAGAAAATGAGAAAAGAGTTAGTGACTGGTGAGCTGTATTTTTTTTTTTTTTTTGGTACCAGGGATCGAACACGGGACCTTGCGCTTGCGAAGCAGGTGCCGGAACCACTGAGCTAAATGCCCGCCCTGAGCTGTATGTTTGATGGGAAAACTCAGGTATTTTATTACACCATGGAGTAGGATACACATACTGGCTAATTAAGTCAGATAGACCTAATATGTTCCCAACAGATAAAATGTTTTGGCCTTTGTCAGAATTTGAACATTGCCCCCAGTTTTGCTACTAAATCTCTTCCTAGCAAGGGAGTAGAACAATGCTGGACAATTAGAAACTCATGGTTAAACATTTAGCCTTCAAAGTGACACATCAGAGTAGGAGTAAAGAATCTCTGGCTAGTGATCCCCTTGACCTCAACTAAGGCTATAGATACAGAGGAGGGTTTTCCAGAGAAGGAAGTCAAAACAGAATTCTACCTTTTCTATTTTGACCTTCCTGTGGATCCTGATTGGTGAACATAGAAAAGGCCATGTCCAACAATTGGGACATAGGTGTCTGGGATTCCATTTGAAGTTTCTCTAATTTATCCCAAATATCTGGGGCCAACTAACAAATGAAATGACATCCCACCAGTGTCTCTTGGTTCTGGAAGATGGATCTATGTTTGTATATTTACAAAAGACTTTTACTGATTGGCTATGGAAGATGACTGGATTTTCCTCTCTGCCCTGTATGACCCTGTTCACCTTATCATAATTAACAGATTTCTTCATGTACCTTTTCATTCCCATAGTAAGAGCACTATCATATCAGACATCATTTTCCATCCTTGACTAGTATTGTCCCAGTTTGGTTTTGTGTTTTGATTGTTTGTTTTGGGGGTTTCTTTCTCCTCCTCTTCCTCCTCTTCCACCTCCTCCACTTCCTTCTCCTTTTTCTTGAGACAAAAATCTCACTATGCAGTTCAGCCTGGCCTGGAACTCATTATGAAGCCTAGGCTAAACTCAAACTCATGGCAATACTTCTGCTTCAGCCTCCTGAGTGCTGGAGTTATAGGGATGCACCACCATGCGCAGCCCTCTTTGGTTCTGTTGCAGGGACAATAGCCTCTCCAAGGTGGTTCCCTTCCCCCTTTTTTTTAAAAAAATTAATTTTATTGGTACATTTTAGGTATACAATATAATGATTCATCATTGGAAATTTGCACCTTTACATAACCTCTCTTGGTTCTTATTTTTCCCCCTTCCCCTGCCCTCCCTTCAACCCCTCCATCCCTCCCTATCTACAAAGACT